AGTTTGCTAAATCGCTTAAGGGAGTTTACTAAATCGCTCAAGGCTGAAATTAGATTTGACCGGATTTTGTATATCGCTTAAGGACTTAGCCAAATTCACAAGATTGTAATCGAATTACTAAATCACTTGGCTTGATCGGATTACTAAATCTCTTGGCTTGATTGGATTACTAAATCGCTTGGCTTGATCAGATTACTAAATCGCTTGGCTTGATCAGTTCTACCTCGCTCAAGGGCTTTCCTTAGTCGCATACCAAGTCATCCGGATTCTAAGTAACCCACACACCACTCTAACCGAATTAATCTTACACCGCTCAACAACCCATCCGGATTAAGCATTCATCGCACATTGCTTTGACCGGACTTAGCCTAAACCGCTTGTCAGCTTGTCCGATCATGCCTTCCTCGGACAACCCCGGACAAATACTTAGCCGGTTTCCTTGAAAATTGTTGGTCGCGATCTGTTTCTTTCTCGGACATCCCCGTGTCCGATTTAGTGTATCCTCGGTAACCAGCTTACCCGAGTTTATACTTAGTCGCGAGCTACCCTTAGCCGATTTAGTGAATTCTCGCACACCAAGACTTTTCCTCGGCCAACCTCTTCTCCGGATTAGCCATTCTAAGTCAATTCTTTGCACGATTTAGGACTCAGTACCCTCATCTCGTTGCTCGTCCGGATTAGGTTCTTGGATTTTGTCTTAATTGTTTTTCTTGATTTCTTATTTGAGTTTAACAGTTCGATTAGCCATTCTAAGTCAATTCTTTGCATGGTTTAGGACTCGGTATCCTCATCTCGTTGCTCGTCCGGATTAGGTGCTTGGATTTTGTCTTAGTTGTTTTTCTTGATTTCTTATTTCAGTTGTTTTTCTTGATTTCTTATATGAGTTTAACAGTTCTTATCTGATTTTCATCAGGTTTTCTATTTTTTAGCAGTTTTATCTATCTTTATCTGTGTTTGAACTGTTTGAGAATTCTTCCATCGCGTAAATTGTTTTTTATCAGTTTTAACAGTTTTTAACTGTTTTTGACAGTTTTTTATGGTTTTTACTAATTTTTTTAGTTTTCGTTCCCTTTTTGATTTCTCATCAGTTTTGTAAATTTTCTGGTATGTTTTTTTTTTAGATTAATTGTTTTTGATTTCTTTCATTAATTTCACCGCATTAGATCCTGTGATCAATCTATTTCTGAAAATGGCAGTTTCGTTTGAGAAGGAGAATGTGAATTTGAGAATTAAAATCTTTGAGTTGGAAAAGAGAGTAGAGGAATACTGATAAGCATGGTTTATTACATGCTTAAAGTACCCATTTCTTGTGTTTAATATGTAGATTTTCTTAGTTTATCCCAACTTTGAGTCATTTCTACTTCCTTATTTTCCATTTGTTATGTTTGGAGCTAAATGTGGTGATGGATTTGTTTTTACAACAATTTGGGAGTAGATGACAKCTTTTGACTTACAATACTGCACTATAATGCTGCAGCACTCCAGCAGCATTGTCCGGATCCGGTTTGGCTTTTTGGAGAAGTGCTTATTGGTTAAGCCATTGTCAATGAAGGAAGTCTTAGCTGATGAAAGCTTCGTTTTTTCCCTCAACCAGCTGGTGAAAAGAGTAGGAGAAGACCTTTTGGGATGACATATTGTGATGGAGAGGATGTCACCTTTTCTAGTCTTTTCATGTGTACTTTTTCCCCTTTTTTATGTTTTTGTCTTTAGTATGATATTGTATGTATAAAAGAGAGCCTTGGGCTCGTCTTTTGACATATCCTGGACAATTGTTTCTCATAACATTTGTTTCAAAAACTCACTAAAAACTCTTAGTATTATACGTAAGCTTTTAAGTTTTAATTTAATTATTGTTCTTCATCTTTTGTTATTTATTTATTTACTTTTATTATCATTTACTTTCCGTCTTTACTTTCTGTCATTTATTTTCAGTCATTTACATTCATGTCTTTACTTTATGTCAGTTATTTATGTCATTTACTTTTCGTAATGAGTAGCTAATTCCATTAGCTCGGATGTAGGGTAAAGGGTGAAATGTTAAGCCGAATGAAAGTAGACGTTGTTTCGCAATAACAATGTTCCACTATTTCATTCAAGTTTTATAAAACCAAGCACACTTCTTGACGAGTTGATCACTTTGAAAGTGTTAAAGTGCCATGGACTTAGAGATAAGCCATGATAAGCACGTCAACTTGAATGAYATKAGAGGTAGACTTGAGAAAGTTGCCGACAAGGAGACTTGTCATTTATGTTTTTCAAACTTAACTCCCGACGGGTTGGTCAMTMTCTAAAAGTGTCAAAGTGTGATAGATTCAAAGATGAACTATCTTGAACACGCCAACTTGAATGATATGGGAATCGGCTCGAAAGAGTGATTTTTAACAAAGAGATTTGTTTAGCCATATATCTTGAAGACACCAATTTGTCACTATCCCTGATCCGAACACCATATAGAGATATGGGTGCAAAGCTATAATATAGTGCAACGGTGAAGTCCGAGAGGAATACCTTCAAGGTAGATGGTGGAACTAGTTCTTCTACAGCATTGTCTGCTGGATTTTGTGTTTACGTTTCACCCCAAGTCTTAGACTCGTGCTACCTTTATTATTCTGCTTTATTATTCTGTTATATTATCTTTGTTAACTCAGAATCAGACTGAAGTCTTCAATTTTGTCATCTGAAATCTTTTCTTTCACTGGACTCTTGTTTAACTTTTGCTCCAATCCATGTGGACGATATTCCGGTACTTGTACCACTTTATTACTTGGAAAGACGATATTGAGCCATATTGTATACTTGCTTTGTGACCCAATTCTTTTGTCTAAACGTATAGGATTTAACCGACCAAGTTTTTGGCGCCGCTGCCGGGGATTGACAAGCTTAAAGTTTTCTTTTGAGTAAAGTAAAAGATTTGATTTTTCTAGTACCTGTTTTAACCATCTTGAAAAGTGGTGTATGCCAAGTGGTACATTTTGTGGTAAGATTGTCTTTTTTTTTATACAAAATAATATGTATTCTTAACTAAATGTGAACGGTTTTCTGGAAAAATTGTATCAAAATGAAACCAACTTTCATCTAATTTCTATTTTGAGGAACCAACTTTTAAAATCGTTATTTTGTGAAACCAACTTGCACCTGATTCTTATTGTGGGGAACCAACTTTCAAAATCGTTATTTTGGGGAACCAACTTGCATCTGATTCCTATTTTGGGGAACCAACTTGCAAAATAATTATAGAAAAATAACTAAAATTCGTTTTTTTTTCAAAATTAATGCAATAAAATCTATTTTTCATTTCAAATCTCGTTTTTTTTTTAATTCAGATATCAAATTGAACATTTAAAAAAAATCCAAATTACCACAATAAAAATTATTTTTTATTGCATCAATTAATTTTTTTCTATTAAATTGAATTTTTTTGCATTAGTAAAAAACAATTTTTATTGTGGTAATTTGGATTTTTTTTTTAAATGTTCAATATGATATCTGAATTAAAAAAACGAGATTTGAAATGAAAAATAGATTTTATTGCATTAATTTTTGAAAAAAAAACGAATTTTAGTTATTTTTCTATAATTATTTTGCAAGTTGGTTCTTCAAAATAGGAATAAGGTGCAAATTGGTTCCCCAAAATGACGATTTTGAAAGTTGGTTCTCCAAAATAGGAATCAAGTGCAAATTGGTTCCTCAAAATGACGATTTTGAAAATTGATTTCCGAAAATAGGAATTAGATGAAAATTAGTTTATTTTACTGCAATTTTCCTTTCTTAAAATCCCACTGATTATATTTATAGGGGTAGTTTCCTTAAAAATCTCAAATGAATATTTTCAATAATTATTAATTCGATCTTGTGGGTGGTTCCTTCACTGAATCTGTATAGATTTCTTAATTAATCTCATACAGCTTGCTACGTTTTATTGGTTCATAAATGAGATCATGAGTTTTCCCAATAGACCTATATAGGTTCTTTAATGAATCCCACATACCGGCTATTATGTTTCACCAATGAACATATATATTGATATATAATTTAATTAACATTTTCAATATATACAGGTAGAATGTGTTACCTGACCTGGACCAGGAATCCCCAACCTTGATCAGGATGGGGGAGCCAGGTGAACCAAATCGAAACAAATCACCATGCCTGTTTTCTTTGGTGGTTGTTTCGGCCACAATATACTATGCGGGGCATTGGATTTAGCCATCAAGATACCCCATGTGGTTGGTAATGAAGAATGGTTGAAGCATCGCCTTCCAACCTCTTTCACACACTTTTCATAAACAGTTGTTCTTACTCTTTAAGGTAAAGGCCAGGTAAGTATACGATACATCACCCCCGCAATTTCTACTTTCGTATGAAATATATTGTATTCGTTTGGTTTGGTAAGCTGAATGTCTCCATATTACAGAACTCATGAAGCAAATGTACTGATTTCAACTTCTCCTAAAGAGCCATGAATCAACAATCTGTCCAAGCTAGAGTTCAGCAATGGAAGCATCATCTAGCGAAACATGAAAGTAACACCAGAAACTAATAAGGGGCCGTTTACCAACACCAACATGGTAAGCATTGACCAGTAACACTCGCCATCTTCACTCGCTTTACCTAGGTAAAATCCCCAGCCATCAAAATAGCATACTATAAGCGTCTCTTAACCAATAAGCGCTAACCGGGTAATAGTCACCACCCTCACTTACCAGGTAAGTGGCAATAAGGGGCCGTTTACCAAACACTTATCGGGTAAAACGTCAATTACCTTACCGGTGAGCATAGTTTGGACCGAGAATCTCACCTGGTAAGAGGGAAGACAAGGATTAAGAGTCTTACCCAGTAAGTGAGGTTGGTGACTCTTACCAGCAAGTGCTTACCGGATGATAAACGCTTCCCATCAATCACTTTGATGGCCAGGAATGTTACGCGATAAAGTGAGGGTGGTGACTCTTGCAGTAAGCACTTACCTGGTAACCGATGGTAAACGGCACCTAAGTGTTTAGTAAATGGACCCTCAAGAATCTTTCTCCTTATACTACTCTCTTTACATCTCTTCCCATATAAATACACCTACCATTTTCTATAATCTTATTTTCATACCGTTTTACAAAAGAATACCATCGAACCAATCCAGCCTACCGATCATAGCCCATGGCTACAACCGGTATCCGCACCTTGTGCCTTCTGCTTCCCTTCAACAAAACCTCTCCGAAACTGTAAGTTCCGGTCAGTGACTGAACCGTTAGAGTCACGGTGAACCTATGCGACGCACCTGGTCTCAGGGTCATGGCCGGCGGGCTTGTTTCAATGGCTATGGCCGGTGCCATTCTTGCAGTGATTGTATACGTTTCTTCTTCGTTCACATTTGTGACTGTTCGGCTTATGGTTTGAGTTCTGACGAGATGAGAGACGGTGATGGAAGGGGAGTTCAGATTGTATGGGTGGCCAATGGTGTAGTTACAGGGTCGGTGAGTAAAGTTAAGTAGTTCGTGATAGTTGATTCCGGGCGTTGTGCACAAGAATCCCAGATAGTCTTCGTAGCCTGAAAAAGATATCGGAAAATATGAGGTCATTGACAAAAAAAGGTCAAACCAGTGGATTCAAATTTCTTACAGATTTCATCACCTATACAATACGAAACCGCATTTTGATTGATATTTACCGAAAAGTAAAAGGGTTGTCAAATTCCACATGAAAGCTTGCTAATTTCCGTTGAAATTTCGAAGCTAAAGATTGGATGGTTGACCCTAAAGTCAAACTGTCTCTCTTTCCCTAATCAAGCAAATATGAGCTCAAATTGACAAAATAGATCATACCCTATGGGTCCAATTTCCATGATAACCCGCAATGTTGGAGAGAATCTAATAGGTTTCCACATAGACTCGTACAGTTTCCAGAATTGTAGGAAAACAAGCTCTTAAATATGTATGTATGCAAACGGCAGGGAAATGTCGCACCTGCATCAAAGATGAGACCTGGGTCCAGAGCAGCTCGGGGATTAACGTGGCCACTGCCATAATCAAAAGGCGTTGCTGGGACAAACATCAATGTTTCCGACCCTGAATATTGTTCCGCTAGTATCGGTTTCTCGGCTCGGTCCAGTGTGTTTGAGGTCGTCATCAAGGCAGACTTGATTGCCGCGGGGCTCCAGCGAGGATGTTTTTGCTTTATAAGAGCCGCTATTCCTGATATATGCGGTGCAGCCATGCTTGTTCCAGAGATCATCGCAAAGTTCTCTCCTGCCCAACAAAGTGTCGTTAATTCATTTGTCGTTTTCACTTGGTTATGTTTGGCAAACTAGCTGCTAGTTGCGGTCTGTGATAAACTTGTTTGTTTGGTAAAAACTACTCCGTCCAAAATCAATGTCCATATGAATAAAAAAAGGCACACAGTTTTAATTAACTAAATGTCAATTTTACTCAAAATAATAGAGAGTAATAGATTTATATCTCACAATTAAGGGTAGGATTGAAAAGTAGGCATATCCTTCAAAAGTGGACACTTGTTTTGGGACAAACTAAAATAGAAATATACACTTTTTTGGGACATAAGAAGTAGTTGAGAATCTTTATGACAATGTAAAATAACCTAAAAAACATGTTGAAAAATTAATCGGAAAAATACAAAGGGGTATAGTTGGAAAAAAGTAGAAAAATAATCTCTGAACTTGAATACCTTATTTAACCAAAAGGGAGTAATTCAAAAAGTATGCATGGCATTCGTGGATCCAATTTAAGTTAAGATGGCCATAAAATGAAGCAACCAAATCAAGATTTTACCTAAGTAATTAACCTCATCTGTGCCATTAGGAGACCAAGAAGCCCAAATTAAAGCACCGGGTGCTAGAATATCGGGTTTTAGAAGATCCGCATCACGAAAGCTGTAATCTTTTATATTTGGCCCACGGGCGGAGAACAATGCAACTATTGGTGCCGATTTGTGAAGTATAGGCTCCAAGCCTTCTCCGATTATTCCCGTGGCTTTGAAACTTTTCACTCGTCCAGTCCAGTCCCGTGAAGTCGAGGCTTTGTAATAGTCAATAAGTTCCTGTACCCATCAAACAAAATTAGCAATCGTATAATCAATTAAACTATTCCCGAATAAAATATTCTTGTCTAAATAAGCTAGCTTACTTTTTTAGATTATTGAAATAGTCCCGTAAAGTTAGTCATAAGCCAGCTTTTTGAAAAGCTACTCAAGGTAGGGTATTTTCCACTTCTTTTTATATTTTTCCGGTTAAGTTTTCAACATGATATCATGTTAAGTCATTTTATATTGTCAGCTAGTTTTTAAGAAAAGAAACAAGACTAGTTATCAGCCAACAACTAGTTTATCAAATAGTATGCCAAACATAGCCTAAATGAACTAAAGATGTGCATTGAATACCATTGACTTTTTTTTTTTTTGATTAACCTGAATACCTTTGACTTGCTAACGTCTGTAATGAGAATCCCGGGCATGCCAGTCGGTACCGGATCGAATTTGGTTCCCGCTGAAACGTATTCAACAGCAAGCACAAAGCCAATCGCACCAAGACTCCTTGCGGTTTCAGCGACTTTTTTAACTGATGCCATACCAATAACGAAATTGAAAGAATAACCACAGAGAAGAATGTTCCCTTTCACCATATTTTTGTTCAAAACTTCCGGCCTCTGGCAATCGGTAGGACTAAACTTCATAACCGAAGAATCCAACACAACATCATTAGCTGCAACCAGGGTATACTTCTGATTCAAACTCGTAGCAGCTGCATGCATATGTTACCAAGTACCAATAAGAAATAGATCAGCGATGAACATGAATAATACGTGTCAACATGATTAAGGAGGGTGAACACAAAATAAATGTCTAAGTATCTTAATAGACTGCTAATTGGACTTAAGTTTATAGGACCAAACAATAAGGCGTCATACATAAAAGTGCTACAACAAGCTTATAGGATGTTTTTGGGCATCTTAACAAGTTTTTTAGGACACTTTAGAAATAAAACGTCCCATTAAGTTTTTTACGACATTATATGAAAGTGTTATCCTAAAAAACTTGTTAAAGACGGCCAAAAGCATCCTAAAAACTTATTGTAATACTTTTACGTAGGACACACAGTTGTTTGGTCCTATAAACTCAAGTCATATAAAGTAGTCTAGTAGGACATTTAGACATTTTTAGCATCCTATAAACTCAATTTTGTTGCAGTGAAACTTACGTGACAAGCCATGTCCAGCTAGGATCTTGCCGTTTCCAAGTGTCAGATGGTTTTTATATCGCCGATCATCAACAGCAGCAGCTACAGATACGATCCATGGACTATAAGACACTAAAGATTTGGTGAAAGGTCCTCCATTTCCGGCTGCTTGTGCAACAAAGACTCCGGCTTTTACAGCGGATAGAAGCGTAGCATCAAACGGGTTCAAAAATGTGGTTCTCGTGGTGGCCGGAGGACTGTTGGGCCCCACTGAGAGATTCAAGATGTCAACACCATCATGAACCGCCTGCTCGATGGCGGCAACGACATCAGCAACAAATCCTCCAAAGAGCCGATAGAGGGCCTTGTACACAGCAATCCTATTCATACATATTATTCACATTTAAGAGCCTGTATATGGGTGATAAGAGTTTATTCGTTTTCATATATTTAAGCATTTATACTTCACCTGGCACGAGGAGCCATTCCGCTTGCTTTTCCGAATTCATATCCATGAACTCGCACTGGGATCCCGTTATTTCCAGCCGCAATTGCTGCAGTGTGACTGTGAACAATATTAGCATGTTGACCAAATGGCCTTTTGCCCTACAATCCGTAGAAGAAACCCAATAATATCCCACCTGGAGGTGGGGTTATGCAAAAGAGTAGAGGGACTGCTTACATTACATTAAAAGCTATTAGTTTGTTCAAAAATAAAATTAGCACTTTGACATCAAATAGGTCATTTCAACTTCGAAACTCCACCATATAGGATCTGGCGAGAATAGGATTATGATGTACACATAAATAACTAGAAAGATTTCACATTTTTAACCAACTCATAGAATATGAACCTTAAGTCAAATTATACCTCTTTTTCGAAACAGATAGCATCATTTCAAATTATTCTTTTTACCTTCCATGGCCATCACCGTCCATAGGTGAAGCAAAATCAACAGAAGGATTAAAAGCACCGGCTGCAATTGCAGCTTCTGCAAAATGTTGTGCTCCAACAATCTTTCCGTTGCAAAAACTCCTCTTTGTATCAGAATCAACTTCACATTTCCCTCTATACTTTGGAAGAGGCCCATATGGTTCGCTATTGTGATTCGCAAAGCTTGGATGATGTGGAAAAATACCCGAATCAACAAATCCTATCACAATGTCTTCACCGGCTCTATCAAATCCACCCCCCGTTGGCCAAACTCCGGTTGGAAGCCCGAGAAACTGCGGCGTGTGTGTGGTAAGTTTCCTCACTTTCCAATCTTTATCCACTGATTTCACGCCAGGGGCCCGCCTAAGCGTATCTGCCTACTAATATGTTAAGACAGATTTAAGAAAATGTGATTTTAAGAGTAGTCAACCATGAATCTATGCATATTCATTAATGATTACTTGTTACAAAAAGGAGACATTGACTTTTTGACACGATATATTTGTCTTCTTAATGCAAACAAACCATCATTCTTAGAAAAATGCAAGGAAAAAGAATAAAGAAAAACCATGCTTTGCAAAAAATGAGTAATTTTTTTGCATTTGCATTTCCAAGGTTCATCCTTGCAAATCATAAGGGCTCTTTTTGAATTTTCGCAAGAATGATGGCTAATTTGTAACTGAAAACCAAATATGATTGCTCAAAAGGGCGATCGCTAAACGTAAAAGTAAAGAAGTCCCGGTTTTGACCTGTTCAGGAGAAATGTGAACGGCAAAACCATTGATAAGATGCTTGTAACTGTAGAGTTTCTTGTAAGTTCCTTGATCGAATAACGTTTCAAGAAGAGTATCATGCTTGAGTTCAAGGTGACGAGAGTATGATGTAACCAAATCACTGAGTTAAGATCGAAGAATAAACAATGGGGTTAAAATAATCATAAATTCTAAATCAGTAAACAGAGAGTCTACCAAGACTGTTGACTTCATTTTCTTAGGATCTGCTTAACAAGCTTTATGGGACTCACAACTTATTAGGTCAACTATACATGACCGTTTTGTAGTTCCTTAATGATATAGAAAGTGGTTTATGTAATAAACTTTTAGGGGGAGCCTTTAAGCAGAAAGCCACGTTTTTTTCAAACATGCCCTTTCCAATTAAAAAACACCTCCTCCCATCAATAAAAAAAAACCCTCCCAAACAAAAACCTCCCTAATCTATACAGACAAATTAATCCACACAAACAGCTTTATCCATGCCGGACCTAACGGAAAACCAATCACACAGCCCCTTAATAACAAGAAGATATAACAAGATGAGACATTATATAAAGATATAATCTTTTCGTTCCATGAAGCTGCAACATTTCCTTTGTGGGAAAATCACAAAGTATTGATGATATGAGTTTGGTCCACAAGTTTTCTTTATTTTGTAATTAGTAACGAGTGTTTTACACGATTCTAACAGTCAAAAAATTCTAACGATTTTAAAACGGTTTCAAGAACACGAACCTGGTGACATCAAGCTTCTCATGAGATTCGACAGCAGTGGCTTCAAAACCACTCACACCACCTCTGTAACTCGTAATCGGCTCTCCTTCTACCATTACAATATAAATCTCTGCTTTTCCAATAACCAAAAGAAGGAAGAGAATTATAGACGTAAACATACGCTCAACCGTCCTCATTTCCAGTGATCCGTGGCCTCCAACAACTGTAAACAACATCATGAACTCAAACTAGAATCACAATACATATATTAAACCGAATTGAACTCCATTTTCCACTTTTATATGACTTCTAGATAAGTCCTAAAACAATGCAATATGCAGCATTAGAACTTCAATTCTTAGAAACTGAGAGTAATTTGGGCTTGTAAAAATCTTTTTTACACTTCATTACACAGAAAAAAACAAATAATTCAAGAAAATAAAGCAGGGACTAAAAGGGAATTTGTTCATAAAATCAACCGAAAAACGAGAGAGAGGGAGAGAGAGAGAGAGAGGTTGTATACCAATTTGATTCAATCTGAAAGGGTCTCTTTCATTTGCATCTCATGACCCATGTGATCAACCTGCATATTATATTCACACACATAAACACAAACAAATCGATACAAATACATGTGTCTGTGTATATATATATATATATATATATATATAAACATACATACGTATTGATGACTAAGATAGGAATCAAATAAAGATTAATGTGAACTTCACTTTTTTACTTAATAATCAAAACCCAGCAAAGATTTATCATTTAAAATCCAACCCAAATAAAAAAGTCAAGAACTTTACTCACATTGATCCAAGAAAAGAATCAAAACCCTAGCATCATCTTTACTAATCCACCTTAACTGAAATATAGCAAACAGATTTGATTCCCCAAGGCTCAAAAGAGTGAAATTAACAGCTACATTACTGTATGATGATCAAATATCATAAAATCAAAGTGAAGATTGATGAAAAAAGTGCCTAATTTTGCAAATGAGGGTATATTTAAGGGGAAGAGTAAAGAGAGAGGTGGTTAGGGTTCTTCACTTTTTGAAAACGCACCAGACAAGAGAACAAACACGGTGGTGGAGCCTTGATTGAGCTCATAAATCATTAGATGTACACATATGAAAGTATGAATATATCAATTTTGGATATTTTTATATCAGATAAGACTTTGGATGCTATTATTAAAAAAAAGTTATATATACAGTTAAAGGTTTATAGAGAAGTGTTAAATAATATGTAAGAAGTAGAGAAATTATAGTAGTCATACGTCTGGTTAATATTTGTGATTTTAATTGTGAAACGTCGGATAATTCAGTCCATAGTATACAGAAGATAAAAGGATTGTTTTATAACTTTTATAAATATGTGGTAAACAAATGCATATGTGAACTCATCTGATTCACATATGAACTATCTACGTATATGTGAACCCGTATGATTCACATATGAACTATTTAACTCATTTAGATATGAACTAGTTAACTAATTTACATATGAATTCATGTGATTTATATATGCTTATTTATAAAAGTTACGAAATTACTCCTCTATTTTCCGGATAGATGTTACCATATCGTAAATATTTTACAAATCAAAGGCACAAATATTAAGACAAAAGTTTAAGATCATTTATTTACTTGACAAATAAACCTAGTACTATATATAAGGTAATTTATTTAAGAATCATAAATATTAACATTGAGAATCAATTATTTAATAATAAATAGTCTTGTATTTAAAATTGGTTAATGGATGAAAGAGAGAGAACTCAAAATGTTGAACCAATCGAGTAAGTGATTTAGGATTCCAATTTCTTGGTTATCGGATGTCTTGATGTTTTTTCTTAGATCTTGTTGATTTATTGAAAGGCATATATTAAAAAATACAACATTATTAATTACTGGTTTTATAGGTTTTTGTTTTCTTTGCTGGAAAATAATTGATACAATAAATAAACATGAGATTTAGAGTCATTATTGTTTGGTTTGTTTTTTGAACTTAATAAAAAATATATAGTTTGGTAAATCATAAATTAATTTTAAAAAAAAAATACTTTTTGTATAGCTAATCGGTTAATATCTAGTTTTTTATGTAGTAGTTAGCTTATTAGCTAGTTTTATATGCATAATCTTACTAAATAAAACTGATAAAACTATATTATAGTTGAAATGTATTCATTATACATGCATATACATACACACACACACATCTATACTACATTAATAAGTATTTAAACCTATATCTTAAGTACAAGTCTTAAAGCTTAGAGTACCATCATTTTATGCAACAAATTCAAAAAACTCTTAATTACAAACTATTATGCATAATGTACAAGTTGTTTATGCAATGGTTTCCAAACATAAAAAATTACCCATTTTGAGTCGGTTTCTTCATCTTCTGTTTCCTACCTCTGCGACCACCAAGACTAAAACCTTTATTCATCTTCTGTATCCTTTCTCTACTACCAACAACATTTTGGGTAAGAAAGCAGAGGCCTTTCTTCTTCACATACCTGATTTGACAGAACAATGGTGGTGTGGATGTATCACCTCGATTAGAGAACCGATTTCATATATCAAAGGATTTGATGTATCACAACCTCATTGATATATATAGCTCCCTCTTCCCTGTTGATTTAATTTTACAGGTTTTTCAAAACCCTAGAATATGGAGGTATGCTCTTCTTTTTGGCATGCTCTATTTCAATTTTGATTTCTGCAACCACTTCTGATGAGATTTTAACTTTCTTTCTTCTTTTTGGTTTAACGATCGATGAAGTCAAGCCTATTTACAACTTAGAGGTAAGAATCCTCTTTTACATCTCTTTGTTGTCATTTGAGCATAAAAGGACTCATGAATGTGATTTGATCTTTGAAGTGGCTATCAATGTGGTTTGCTTTCCTTCTTGAATGTTATTTTAATATATGTTTAGTAGTGTGTGAAAATTTGTGAAGTTTGGTTATAAACAGCTGCCATCCTCATTTCGTTTTTGATTTCGTTATGGTCTGTTTCCATTTCATCTTATACATACACACACACATCTTGCAACAACTTTTTTTGTCCTTGTCATCTTCTCCATAAATCCATCATTTGCTATGTCATGTATGGACCGACTGTTGATGCTTATAGACCAAGTGTTTTTTTTCTCCTGATTTTAGTTTATTTGTTCCATTGTCAGGCAAACTTTAGAGCAAAGTCATTCTCTTGCACATGAAGTATTTATATCCATGGTTTTTGGTTGTTTCCATTTCATCTTATACACACACAAGGTCATGTAGTTCTTTTATAACTTGGTTTTTGGCTAATGTTAAATAGCTGCAGAGTGTTGTGAGTGTATGTATTGTACTTCAAATAGATAAATAGCTGCTAGACTTGCTATTGATCTGTCTTTACTGTGTTGACAGATGTGAATATGTGATGATCCTTTATATATACACACATATTAATCTGTCGTTTTTGGTTCTCTTATCCTCATAATAACAGCAGCAAAATGCTGGAGTAGACAAAATAATAAGTTCAAAATCTAAAAGACAGAAGGTTGAAACCCGACAGGGCTGTAACACCCCCAAATCCATACATTGCATATAACACATATTTTATACATAGAATACATGTTTTCTCCACATAGGTCCATAATACAAGAGACTAAAATATACATCTCAAAAATTCCAAAAAGTATATGCTCTTGTATCTCTATATCTCTACTTCAAATATGGCTAAATAAGATCTTCATACAGCTTAAGCACATAGGAAAATAATTCACAGAATGCTCTTTCCCTTATTATCATTACCTGCACACACATTTTGAAAACACAAAATGAGGGTTAGACATGAATGTCTAGTAGGGTTCCCTTTTTATGTAATGCAGGGTGAAGATCACCAAAACATTCCTTTCAAATAACTCATTTCATGTAGTAAAGACTGAAAATCATATTGTTTCGGTCCATCGGGCCTCTGGTTCCAAAACCATACTTGGAATATATTTCGATAAACAGGACTAGAGCCCCTCTGGTCTTTCTACCAGAGCCCCTCTGGTTTTTCAACCATAGCTTTTGGTTCCTTGACCAAAGCCTCTAGTTGTACTAACCAGAGCTTCTAGCTCATATAATTTCTTATAATGTTCTTTAGTTAAGCTTCTAATCAATAAGATAGTCTTTTTCATAAAAAGAATAGTTATAAAGAGTTCATGCTCAACCAGAGCCTCTGATTGTACTAACCAAAGCTTCTAGTTCAAAAGTTATGACCAACCAGAGCCTCTAGTTCAACGTGTGAGTCGACTAGAGCCCCTCTGGTCAGTCTTTAGTAGAAAATACTAAGTAAAAAAATACTTATTTCTTAAAACTTCTTAAAATATGATTTTGACACAGAAGCTCTTATCAATAGATACAAAGCCTCTGGTCCAACTAGTACATTTAGTAAAAACTTGCATATTCCTCAAATCAATAACAAGAACCCTCTTGTCTGATAGTGAGGACCAACCAGAGCTCCTTTGGTTTCTCATAAAATGTACCTTCTGTTCCAAAACACTTTTAACCAAAATTAATGACCATAGGCCATATTTTCCGTAACCATAACATCAATACTACTATTTCCAATAAGAACAACATCTCTGAATCCTCAAATCTCCAAGAAAAGAGAACTCCAATTTGTTGTAATCTTAATAGATATAATTGCAAGAGTTATACCATGCACACACACACAACGACCATCCTTATTTCATCCATGATTCCCCCTTTATAGCAATAGATATCCATCACATACAACGACCATCCTTATTTCCCCTGAAAATTCTTATGAACTATTTCATCCAATGACAGGCTGCAGGAATTTCTGTCAGAGTGAACCTCGTTCATAGTTTTAATCAAATCATAATCGCAAAACAGGTTTATATTCAAACCCTTCAATCCACAAGAACAATATGTTCTACCTATGATTTCTCAAATCATTCGCTTTCCTTTTTAAATCCTCAAAACATGGTATAAAATCCAAAACTGCTCTTTAAAACACAGTTTCTACTTAATCCTTTCAAAACCAATACAAATTCCAGCATCCCAAAATGTTTTCTTTAAAACTGTTTAGAACAGATTTACCAAATTCTCTTAAATCTTTAGATCATCAACACTCAACAGCTTTTATAAGATCAAACAGCAGATAAAAACTCACAGTTTGTAAATAGATAGTAA